CCAGAGGGAACAAATCTGCAAAAGCTTGAGGAAGAAATAGTGCACATATTTGCTATCTAAGCCATTTTTTCTCCAATGAATTTCTGAAGAAATGGAGGAACAAGGAGGAAATAGCAGGCTTTTCATTCTTTAAAAAGTGATGGGAAACCTTTTCCACCTGCATCCCCCCACAGAATCTCGTGCAGTTAGAGCTCCCTCATTGTTTCAGTCTACCTGAACCCCACTCTCCAGACAAGGCTGAGGAAATCTACAATGGATGGACAATGAGGCTTTCCTCTTATCAAATGCTGTCTCTCCCTGTTGTGTAAATACGTGAGGTCACGTACTCTTTTGGTGCTGCATAAAGAACACTCAGCTACTTTTTGAAACAATTGCCATAGTGTTCTTCCTTCTCCTTGTTTCTAGTTTTGCTGCTGCTATTTGTGTGATTTACAGAGGTTGTTTCTATTCCTCAGAGCTTTCAGAGCAATTAAAGAGAATAAAGAACAAATGCCCAAGTAGTTGAGAAGAATGGAAGAGGCAAAAGTTGGACACAAAGGCAGAGATACCATGAACAACTAAAGAGGAAAGAATAAAATACAGCTTGTTTTCAACATGACTTAACAGGCCCAACAATTCCAGATTCAGTTTATTTCAAATTGCAATATGGTTTGGAGGGGAGACAGTCAGTAACTTCTAAACAATATGGACATCCAATTTAATAAAACAGCAATCAATTGTGTATTGTGAACTTCAAAGTCATGCTGTATTTATGTTACACAGTTTTTCAAATAAGCTGGTAAACTGTGATACACCCTACTTGCACTGACCACTTGTGTGCCTGGATTTTTCACACCCAGGAGGATAAAAAAACCCCCCAAAACAAACATCCAAATGGGTTGTTTTGGGATTTTAACTGTTTCACCTGGTTGATGGTTGCACAAACATGCCATATCTAACCTCTGTGCAAACATGTTGGCTTGCAGGCTCTGTCCTCCTCTTCACCTTTCTAACCTCAGCTGAAGTTGTTGGAACTTGCAGAGGCTACTAATCTATCTCCATACCTCAGCAAACTGACTTCTTCACCCTCAAATTCATGTCTCTTCCCCTCTGCTCTGCATTTCAAAATCCAGAATTAAGCAAACCTGCAGAAGATGTGTATGTTGAAATGCACTATTGCTTTCTGCTTTGTAGTTTCCTTCTTGCCCAATAGCTGTCAGTAGTCTCTTTTTTTTTGCACACACTGCTGTTTTTTCAGTACAGTATCTCTGAGAACTAAAAAAAGAAAAATAGTGGGATCACAATAACATCCTCAATAAAGGAGTTTTCAGGCTTTTTCTTTTTTTTTTAAGGTAGAGTATGACACAGCCCAAGATGACACACACCAAATAAACAGGAAAAAATTTGCCAATCCTTGTTCTATATTACACACCCGTTGAACATTTTGGGTGGAGAATCTCTGAGGTCAAGCTCAGTTCTTTAAAAATATTTCCATTTCTTCATGAGGAGGCAAAATATCTCAATCCCTAAGCCTCAGTAGCCTTTTCTGTTTCTATTGAAACTTTAACTAAGTTTCCCAGAAGGCATCTGTGTTCCATTGCATGAGATATACCAGTGGTAAAACTTAATATACCCCTCCCATTGCAGACCACTAACTTGCCTAAATTGCCATTTCTGCCATGCCTAATGCAGGCATTATGTCCATTTACCAGCCCACTGCAGGGCTAACTAGAGAAGGTGGCAGGGTCCCTTTTCCACATTGCTTCTGCCTCAATCTCTATTGATTGTTCCAGTTCTTTTGCATCATTTTAGACCATTTCTAAATCACCTAAATCCATTATATGTTAACACAAACCAAATTCACATGCTCAAAGACTGTTTCTCAGCATACAAGTTTGCCATTTTGCCACTGTTTTTACTCAATGCTTGAGGGACTTCTAACACCAGCATGAGTGAAGCGGGAGCCACGAGGTGACATCAAACAAGCTCTGCATGGGTCTCGAGCCAGGGCACATGCCAGGCATGCTTTGAAGAGCCATTGCTCTGAAAGAATGTGGTTCAGAGAGGTTTGTGTTTGACAGGTTGAAGGTCACCACCAGCATGTGGGTCAGGTCAGCCCCACAGCAGCCTCAGATGCGTGTCTGGAGCAGGCAGAGCTCAGGCAGTCCCTTCCAAGCTCTCCTTCCCACAGCTGCACCTCAAGGTTTTGGGCTTGCTTTCCCCACGGACCAGGCAGCTCCAAGGCTCACACTCAGCAGCAGCTGCCAAGGGCAGGTGCCTCCAGCCCAGCCACCACCGCTGTGGCTTTGTCCTTCCCTTTGAATGCCCACTGAACCTCCTTTCCCACATGCCAGACTCGTCCCCTGTGCATTCACCTCTCCAGAACAAGCGATTTGAAATGAAGGTGCAGCCTTGCAGCAACAATCACATTAACTATTTATTCCGCTGAGGCAAACCACGAGTCAAGAGCAGCTTTTCAGAGATGGAGGAACTCCTAGTTTCTACTGCCAACATTATTTTCCCAGCAGGGCTTGTCTTCCACAAAGTGACCTGACCCAAAGGTGTTTGCACCCGTGACCAGGTGTGACTCAAGACAAAACAGCAACACAGTACTTGACATTGTTTGGTGTGTAGGACTTGGAGAGAAGAAAGATGAAAACAGACACGTGATGCTGATAAGAATTTCTTTTTATGTTATTCCAATAAAAAATACATTCATACAGAAATATAACAATCTTGCAAAAAACAATTTCAAATAAAATCTTGTAAAACAAAATTTTTACAAAAATCTTACAAAGAGATTCTTTAGATAACAGGGTGCTTCAAAAACAAAAAAAGAAATTTCACTAATAGAAACTTTTTCTTCTTAAATTTCAAGCAAAAATGTTTTATTTTTTTTATTTTTCAGCTTGATTGAGGCTCAGTTATCACCTGAACAAAATGTACTTGCTTATTAAGAAAATTACAGGCATTTGACATATGGCACACAGCCCCACCCCATCCACACAAGTCTGATGGTATTTCACAATTGAGACAAGCCAGTGCAAGTTTTTTTTTTTGTTTGGGGTTGGTTTGTTTGTTTTTAATTTTCTTTTTGATTTCTTGTTTATAATAATTACGGCTAAGCCAAGGACAATGCAAACAAGGAGTTAAAAATACAATAAAACCCAATTGTAAATAGAAATTCATTTTCTGGAAATTTTTTCTGTTTGGGGGAAGAAAAAAAAAGTGCATTTTCAGGCAATTTAAATTAAAAATGAAATGAGAATGATTTAAGCCTGTGTGTTCCATAGAACCAGATCACTTGCATATACTTTTTTTAAACCACTTATCTACATACATTTCCAGGAAGATATACCAAAATATTAGCAGAGTAAGCAAGACTGATAATTAATAGTAAAAGAAACAGGTCACATGTTTCATTGCATCAACTGTAGTGAGCTGGTTTAAAAAAAAACAAAACAAAACTGGTTTTGGACAGACTATTCCTACTCTAGGGAAAAACAGTCTTTATTTTAGCTGAACTATGTAAAATTAGAGCTTAACCACCACAACGACTAGCTCACTCACAGGTCCTCCAGTAAGCTGGAAGGCCAAAACCCGAGTGTACTTCTTCTGCACACAGCTAATATTCTTTTAGCATGCCAAAATTCGGTTCATATCATTCTTAAATGGCCACAGATACGCTATTCCAGACAACCTAATAACTACAAAACACAGTCAGCAGTCTGAGAAGGACTGAATGCCAACAAAGCCTTTAGCATATCATTAAGCTAAAGGTAAAGCCTCTAAAAATGCTAGATTTTAATTAACTGTATCTTTCATTTCTTTGTCTCCTTAATGACCATATTGCAGGGAGGAAGGGGGAAGAGGGAATATTTTGATGGGCTGTGGCATTTTCTAGCTATGTGTTCTAATTCTTTTCCTTTTAAAAAAAATATTTATATATTATCTATATATATACACACATACACAGACTGTACACACAAATATACATACACAATTATTTTTCTGCCCACTTTTAAAAAAAAAGTAATATAGTTTCTTTCTGTATGACCAACAGATAGCTAGATATATAGATGTGAAACTTGTGCCTTTTAAGCAAATACATCTTTTAATACTTCTGTATCTTTAATATGTATGAAAACTTGACATATTAAGTACAGTTGGGGTGTGTATATACACAGTTGTTGTGCAAGGTCAATATAAAAAAAGTCTCAAGGTGGCAGAACTGGTCAGGTATTCAATTGGCATATGCATTATACTGTAACACAGTCAAATTGTCTAAGTTAAACAAATACTGTACTGACATGAATGACTTTTCTCTATATTTGTCTTTGTGAAGGAGGACCCTGGAAGTAACCTTTTTTTCCCCTCATATTATACATTTGATACAGTACAATGCCAGGTGAAAAGAGAGCCTTAATAAAGCATGCATCACCCATACCCCTGTATAAGACCCCCTGCAAGAGAAGGTCACTTGCATAAGGCACCATTATTAAGGTCAACAGTGCATTAACAGCTAGAAAACCAGAAGTTAGTCCTCAAGGCATAAATAAGAGAAAAATTAGCTGCATGAGAAAAATCAGTTTCTAACCAATAGTGGTTTTATCCACCCAACAAAAAAATTATTCATGTTCCATACATTATGTAACATTAGACCAATTGTATTTTAGCTGCTCTTAACTGGAATCAAAACTGCAGTCCTGATTAAAGAATGGAAAAGCATATAGTTCCCCAGAACCATGCAATAACCTTTGTATTATAATGAAAAGTTATAGTTGTGTTACATTTGTAAATACACAGCTTATACAATGGATTACAAATGAGCTCTGTAGCAAGTAAAACAAGCTACTTGACACATTGCACGTTTAATAGCTGCACCAGACACCTAAAGCTCCTCTCACACAGGAACAGGGAGGTTCCCCATTTCCATTCTGGCATCCTGACTCTTTTTATTCCCCCCTCTCCCCCTCTCAGGTTTTCCCTCTAAAAAGGTGCAGACACCCCTCCCCCCACCCCTTGGAAATGATTGGTGGTCGTCCCATCTCACGAGATATTCCTCACATACAAGACATTCAGACTATTTTTTTTCTCTTACAGTTATAAAACAACCACAAGAAAAAAAATGTGCCTCAGCATACAGTCATCAAGAGATCCTCATCGCATACAGTCGCCCAATCATTAACATTCTCAGTGCACATGCTCACGGCAAAGGCTTAGGAGCCACTCAGAAGGTTAGATACCAGTGTATGAGTCCAGGAAACCCCAAACATCACGCACCGCGGTTGCTATGCCGTTCTTACATGACTTATTAGCCCTCAAAAGACCTTCAAGGAAGTGAGGTCCTGGAGGCAACTGGGTAGGGTGCAAAATGGCATGCTTTGGCTGGAACACGCATCCCTCCGCTCAAGGCTCTTCAACCTTGACGCCTCTTAGCCCGCAGGATTCACCTCTTGACCCACTCAGAGGTGTCTCTTCATGTGAAGGGCCAGGTGGTCAGACCTGGAAAAACACCTGCAAGGCAAGAGCGAGGCTGCGCGTTAGCCCGCGGCTGCCGGAACGCGACACACGGCGCGACGCGCACGCGGGGCTGAGGCGCCTCCCCTCGCTCTGCTGCTCCCAAGCACAGCTGCTGGAGGAGGGACTTGGCATTCCTGGGGCACGTGGGAGTGCTCAAGGTGGCTGTGGGCACCCAGGAGCTCTGCAGATGGGTGGCAGCACTGCGGACTTCTCAACACTCAGCTGCAAGATCAGGCTACAAACCACTTCCCAACGATTAGTAAAATGGAAGGGTTTTTCCAGCCTAAATAGGCAATGCTTCCTTAAAACTACCAGACATGGTGGGGTTCCCAAATAATTCCTATGAAAAGCAGCATAGACTGGCTTTCCAACAAGCATTAAAAATAACTATTTAAAAGGGTACATTTCAACCACATACCTGTCACAGTGACTACATTTAAAAGGCTTGGCACCAGTGTGCTTTCTGAAGTGTCTGGTTAATTCATCACTTCTTGCAAAACGCCACTCACACCCTTCCCATGAACATCTGTAAGGCTTTTCCCCTACAAAGAAAGCAGATTACATGTTAGTCATGACTTCATTCAAAGACAGGTGCTATCATTTTCTATGTAAACCTCCTTCACTCCTCCAAAGACAGACAATTTTATTCAACCTATCTGAATGCTTCAGAACACACAAGCAAAGAAGGCTCACAAAATTCATCCACATGATTCCTACTTGTCTTGCTGCAACAGCACATCAAATAATTTCATTCTCACAAAAAATAATAATAAAAAAAAGTGATTAAACAGGCTCCCAGGAAACAAAGGAATCCAGCCCTCTACCATTCCTGTTCATCCGTAATGGCAGGCTTACTCCCAAACAGGTACCATTCACCTCACAAAGGTGATTAAAGACAGCACAGCTAGGCTCCAAAATGCAATTAGGCTACTGTATTGCATCAAAGTCCTCTGTCACTCACTCATCTGCATAACATGCAACCTCCTTTTTGCTGAGCCACTTATTCTTGGAAAAGCCTGCGTACCACTTTGAACACTGCTATTTCAGCATTCAAGAAATACCACTTCCATTCACAGGAACGTTCTCAACCAGACAGCACCAGAACACCAGTTCTGCAATACTTCTGAGCCTGGCAGCTATTTATGTCTGCTCAACAACCACGGTTTCAGAGGAAATATTTTTTTTCTTTTGAAATAATCCTGTTTTATCTGACTTCTGCACGACAATGGGAGCATCCAAGCTTGCTCAGACTTCCCATAAAAGCCACAAAATGTTAAGCTCATGAGTCAAAATAGAATCTTCTCCCTGAATTCTCTTTCCCACATGTTAGGGGGAAAAAATAAAAAAGCCAATCATCCATATAGGTGTTTGGATTGGTACACCAAGAGCACCATGCCAGTTCCTCACATTAAGCCATGCCTACTGAGCCAAGGCACAGCTCTACATATCTAACTGCTGTCATAAAGAGATGTCAAATAATAATGCTCAAACAAGCACATCAGCAGGCTACTTCAACCATAAAATATTTATAAAAGCCCTGAAGTGTCTATCTTCCTCACTTTCTTTCCCAGTAACACACAGGATTGTTATTTTTAGTTCAGGCTTCATAAAAATAAAATGCTGTTGTTCAGTAATTTGGGATCAAATTATACAGTGGATCATACATTTAAGTCCAATTGGGCAGATGTGTCAGAAGGACAACAACACACTGTGGCTTTCCAAGATTTTTTGCTGATAACAATGGCACGCATTAGTGTTAAATGAGCTACAAATATAGCTATACTTAATATAATCAAGGCCTTGGTATGTTTGATAAAATAGACCCAATGTGGACTGAAGCATAAAAACAAGTTCTAACAGTGTTTAGTGATCTGACTGATTTTTAGATACATGTGCCTTTTTTTAGCAAAAAAAGTCCTAGCTCACTTTTGCTTTAAAAATAATTGTCAAGAAAGGCCTGGCACCTATTTTGGCTGGACCTTTGCTCCTGAAGACCACGTGCTGCTGCAGCTTCCCAGCCCCTGCCTGCTTAGACGAGTGGCTCCTATTTGCTATGACAGCAGCCTAATCCACCAGCAAGTGCCCTGGCTCATGAAGGGAATGAGGAAGTGATGTCTTCCATGCTGGTAAGCCTCTGCTGCTATTACATCATCTCTCCAAACCTGGGCTACCACCCAGTGATTGAGTAATGCTGTGACACCACCACCACCACCACCACCACCACGGGGTATTCCCTACAGCAGATGCCAGGTCTTAATAAGCATTAAGGGTTACTAACCTGTATGAGTGCGCTGATGTGCTTTCAGATGTGAACTTTTGGTGTAAACTTTCCTGCACCCGTTAAAGTGACACCTGTGGACACGCCTTCTGCCATCGGGCGAGGTGTCACCAGCCGAGGGTGTACCTTTCTCTGCAGTCTTTCCAGTGGTACCGGTACGGATTTTCCCCGGTGAATGCAACTCACCCGGCGTACAATTCCATATCTGGGAAGAAGGCTCCTTGCTGAGCTCAGGAGAGGAAGGGGGAGTGGAAGTGACAGATGAACTCAAGTTTCCTGAACTGGCTAAAACATCGCTGATAGGGTCAGAGGTAAACTTTGTCGTGGGCGAGAGCTCCTCAGAGCTGTCTGAAGATTCGCTGCTCACGTCAGAATTCAAACTGTTGGTCTCTAAGTTCTGACTAGCAAGATTGTCCTCTTTTGGGACACATGTATTCTTCAGTTCAGATTCCTCCTTTTTCTCACGTGCCAGAATAATTTTGGTCCAGAGATCCTCTTGGCTATCAAATTTGATTTCAGATGCAGAAACATAACAGGGTTCACTCTGAAGATACCGTTCCAGCTCCAGACATGTCTAGGTGAAAGAGAAGGAAAAAAACAGAGGAAAGTTACAGGCCTGCTTAAAAATAAACCAAATTATTTTACACTTCAAAAGGCATGCAGGAATGTAGTATGTTCGATTTGAGGTTTCTGGGTTCAAAACAAATTAAAGGCTCCTCAAGCCGTAACTAGGTGACTGTTACGATGAAAAGAAATCAGTTTTCAAGACCTGGGCAAGAGTTCAAACACACAGCTGAAGGTGCAAGTCAGCTTTGGTTTCCAAAATAGCATTCTAATGACTCAGTTAAATTATCATCACTCTCATCACAAAACCTGTGTTTTCAGCAGGCTGATGTTGAAAAGGACCGTAGAGAACCACAACACAAAACTACACTTCGCTCTTGCACCTTGACTAATTTCAAGTTGTTTTGTATCTCTCTCACACAAACACGAGGCTGAAAAGACCCAACTGAACACAATGTGCTCTGACACCCAGCTAAAACCCAAACCCTGTGTCAGAAAACAAAGCCACATTTCAGCATGGCTGCGAGGCTGCCGGCCTGTCTTCTGGGGACATCAATGGAGCAGCAGACATCCTCCCATTTCCTGTGCATGAGAACACAGCACACTCGACTTTCAAAGAATGTCATTTCCAAGCACACTGGCATGCACACCACATAAGCCAAGCTGCTCCCATGCATGTTCAGAGGAACACGGAGAACTTCAACAACAGAGGAGAGGGGAGGAAAAAAGTTCCAGAATAGAAATGTTCTGTTCTATAGGATGCAAAATGGGAAATTACTCTGAGGTCCTGCTGGGAGTCCCACAATGAACAAGAACTTTATCTACTGGCCAAGAGTGCAACTGTATGAGTCATCTCTTTCTTTCACGCAATGCCAAAGGAGACTTCCTTTTAAAACCATGACCATCTGCCAAGAAAGTACTCTGCAAATGTACATGTAACAGTACATGGACAACTTCCCCCCAACCACATTCCCCTGACTCCATGACAGAAAACAAAACAAAACAAAAAACCACCCTAAATGGGTGAAACTGTGGGTTTCAATTTCATTTCACCCTGCTGACTTTCTAGCCATCTTTCAGAGAACGGGAAAAAAAGGAGAGAAAAAAAAAAAAAAAAAAAAAGGAACGTGAACTGTTATGGCAACAAGCTGATGTTTCAGGATTATTCTTTCCACTATAGGAAATGATCCATATGGAAGCTTTACACAGAAAACGGACACACCAAGTTTCCAAAGCAAACACTACTTATTTTAGCAAGATCATCTTTTCCAAGCCCGGTAGCAAAAGCCGGTCCCAAATGCCACACATTCCCCCCACAGCCCCTTTCCATCTGCCCATGAGCAGAGCCGCCATGGGAGCAGCCTCCTTTCTCCCCCAGCACTGTTCCAGTAAACTGGGTCACATGCTCTGGTCAGGCTCCGAGTGTGGGCAAAAATTGGACAGAAAAATCAGAACCACGAACAACCCCCAAAAACCAAACCCACTGTTGCACACGGTATTTATGTATTTGTCTATAATTAGGGAACGGGGTTGCAGTGCTTTTAAAAACAAGAAGGGTTTCTACAGGGACAGCACAATAGTGCTTTGATTTTCCGTGAAAACAAGCAAAAAAAAGCATTTATTAAGATCTTGTTAAACTTTCATATTCCCGGCTAATTTAAATTCCTCATTAGGTAGATTAGTAATGGGGAGCAGAGTGAAGCTCTCCGAGTTTAAATGCCTCTGAAGGCTACTGGGAACGAGGGCTGGCGCTTCGCCAAGAGCCCGAATGCCTGAAGGAAACTACTTAGCTCCATTTCAATCACGTACTATGGAGCTGCCGCTCTGAAAGGGGAGCGGGGGGGAGGGAGAGGGAAAAAAAAAAAAAAAGTCATTGCATACAATTAGTAGGCATGTGAAGGTTGTAACACTTTGCATTTCAGCCTTCTGGGAAAGGCTCCTTCGTCCTTGTGCAAAGCCAGCAGGTATCCGATCCGGTGCCCGGGCTGAGCAGCCCCCGCCGGGCAGCGAGCGCAGCGCCGGCCCCGCTGCCCCGAGCCCCGCGGGGCTGTCAGACCCCGCCGTCCCGCTGCTCGGATCGCAGTAAAAAGAGGAAGGGAAGGAAAAAAAAAAAAGGGCAAAAAAATATGTCCATTAAAGGGAAGAAGGCTCCGTTCTTCTCCCTTGCCGGCCACGGCAATTAGCACAAGGGGATCGCTGTCATATGACTGACAACTCACGGGCTCGACAAAGCTCCCTGCGCTGGGAACAGCCGCGCTCTGTACATGAACATACACATGCATACACACGGACACGGTGTGTACCGACACTCCTGGAGGGCTTCACCCCGTCTTCGCCAGGAACAAAAACAATAATAGTATACATTTGTAGAAAAAAAAATTAAACAAAGCAAAACCAAAAAAACACCAGCAAAAAAAAAAATAAAAATCAAAAACATAAACCACAGCACAGGGCGCACGCAACCCTTGGCCAAGGCAGGGAGCTCGGATGACAAGACCCAGCTGTGGAGTCTGGACCGGGTACAAGCGCAAAACTTTTGCCAGGACTCGGTGTGGAGCGAGCGGCGGCTCGGCGCGGCTGCGGAGCGGAGCGGCCGCGGACGCTGACAGCCCCCGGCAGCGCCGGCGGTAAACAGCGAGAGACGGGGATGCGCAGCTCCTTCATCCGCCTCGGGACTGTTCCCCCCAGACAGCCGACTGCTCAAAGCCGAAACACCTGCTTCAAAACATCTCTGCACATTTGTGCAGAATTCTCAATTCTCCCCAAACTCCTCGCTGACACTTGGGCTTCTTTTTTTTTTTTTTTTTGCCTTTTTTTTTTTCTTTTTCTTTCTTAAATCCGCTTATCCTTTAATACGGCTTAAAAAAAAATCCCCGACAACAACAACAACATCGACATCCTCGTTTACCTGTTGCCAATATTCCTCCAGGGACGGCAAGGCTGAGAAGTAACCCGTGTCGTGCACAATCTGGAGTTCCTGGAAGATGCTGCACATTGGGAGAACATCCATGTCTCAAGTTGCAACAACAAAGTCAGTGCTGGTTACCAAAAATACAGATGCCTCCTTTATGTGCAGGGGTTGCGGGGTGTATGCGGGGGGGTGTCAACCTCTGCTCTCAGTTTCCAAGCCCCCCCCCCCTTCCTCCAGAGATGAAAAAAAGAAAAAAAAATAAAATTGTATATATAGAGATATATATTAATTCCTTGAGGAGCTCGGGGAGGAAAAAAGACCCAAAGTTTCATGCAAAGTTTAATCGCACAGCAGGGCAGGACGTCTCCCGGGGCGGGCGCGCGGCTGTCCCCCCTCCCGCGGCCGGCGGACCTGGCGCAGGAGCGGCCCCAATATTTGCAAACACGGCGCGGACTCTGCGAGCGGAGCCCCCCGCAAAACTTCCCTATTCAAAGCTCTGCCCGGCCGCGCCGCCGCCCCGCCCCCGCGCCCGCCCCCGCCCCGCGTGATCCCGGCGCGCCGCCCGCCGCCGCCGCCCAATCCCCGCCGCGCGCCCCGCGACCCGCGTGCCGATGACGTCAGAGCCGCCCAATCGCCGCGCCGCAGACATCGCGGCTCCTCCTGGCGTGACCGAGCCCGGCCGTGACGGCTCCCGCCATTGGCCCGATTCGAAATTCGCCCCCTCCTGATTGGCCGGCCCGGCGGCAGGCTATTTTTAGCAGGGTATATAAAGCGGGGAAGCAGCGGCTGGAGTTTTTTTTTTCCGAAGGGGCGGTGTGTGCGCGCGGAGCGGCCGCGCGGGGGAGGGGAGCGGCGCTGCCGGCGGCGGCCGCGGGGGGCGCTGCGGAGCCGGGCCGGGGCTCTGCCGGGCCTGAGCAGGGGCGTCCCGTCGTGTCCGTCTGTCCGGGGGCAACCGTGACCCTCTCGGGCCTGAGCAGGGCTGTCCCGTATGTCCGGGGGTAACCGTGACCCCCCGGGCCTGAGCAGGGCTGTCCCGTCTGTCCGGGGGTAACCGTGACCCCCCGGGCCTGAGCAGGGCTCTCCCGTCTGTCCGGGGGTAACCGTGACCCCTCGGACCTGTGTGAGGGTAACCGTGACCCGCGCTCGGCTCTGCACAGGGCTGTCCCGTCTGATGGGCATAACCGAGACCCCCTCACAGCACCTTCCCCCTGAGGCTTTGAAGCAGCGCCCACAGGCGCTGCAGGCCCCTGCGTTGTGCCTTCCAGTGAGCAGGAGGGTTTGGATGTTTCTGTCCTTCCTTTGTCCCCCGAGGGACAGCTGAGGTGTCCCCCTCAGCGACACCTTGGACGGAAATTGGGTCCGAAATCAGACCTGGATGATGGTCCTGGAGCTTCACGAAGAGAGAGATCTTTGCATGGATGAATGACACAGCGGATGCTCCTGGCCACCATCCGACACTGCCTCTCCCAATTCCACCTCAGCACAGATAGTTATTTGTGGGGTGTCAGCCTTTTTAAGACTAGACTTGTCAATGATATGAGTGTCTTAATATAATTTAAGAAACTGTGGTCATTAGCTTTCCAAAGGAGTGTCCAGTACATGGAACAAACAGTCCTAATGTGGTTTTGGCTTTTTTTTTTTAAGGACTTTTAATTTTCTGCTGATGTTCCCATCGTAATCTCAGGTTTATTCTTTCCATTTCCCCACTTTTCTCTGTATCTGTTGCTGGTTGCCTACAAATGGTAACTGGAGTGTTTAATGTGTATTTCTTCTGCCTACTGTCTTCTGTGAGCTGGTGACTGCAGGTGTGAAAATGTCAGTCTAACTTCCCATCCCTGGCCCCCTCATAAACTATTAATATGGTGATTCCTTAAACAAACAACTGGTGTTCATGGTTGGTTTTCCTGTGTCTATGGAAAAAAAAAGTATAAGGTCAATTAGAGCATTATTTTATGTTTAGCAAAACAAGGCGATGCTGAAAACACAAAACATCTAAATCCAGATAATTATGCACGCTTGGTTGAATCAGTAATTCTTTACTTGGTTTCACATGGCCAAACATGTAAATATATCTCCAAAATTGCCCTGCAGGCAACAGATAGTGCAGGTCGTTTTGTGTCTACTTGTGGCCAAAATGAAGCCCTTTTTCTGAAGAAAAGTGCAGAAGGAAAAAAAAAATAAAGGCCCTCTTAAGTAGATGAATTATACACCTTACTTGAGCCTACTTTTAGTTCTGTGGGGTAAAATATTTTTTGGCCTGAAATGTGGTGTGGGCTCCAGTCAAATATAACCTGGTAACATAACTCTGGGAATCATTAGTGTTTTTTTAACTGACCAGCTCCCTATTTAAACAAGATTTTATTTTCAAACATAGTGACAGTAAATGCAACTATCTGCTCTTTCTATTTTACACTTGCCCCCTTTTTAGCTGTGTGTCATGACAGAGAAATCTGGGCTTGTCAGAAGCTGGATGAGGTTGGCTCTGCCCACGTGGAGTTTGAGACATAATGATCTTATTTTGTATGGGCAGTATTTCCCAGTAAAGGACAACTGGAAACAGCAGATGTAAACTGATGGAGATGAAAAAGTCCTTAAATGAAATGCCTCTTTAATAAGTAAGGTTTTCTGCACTGCCATCAGGCTGTGGGGACGAAGAATCCTGCAGGAAAAAATGAACCAAATCAAAGAAAACTATGGCACAGATGTGACTATTGTACAGTAAAACTGTTTTAGGTTATATTCTGATTAAAGGCTGGCTTTCATTAGACAATTACCAATGGACAAAAGAAAATTGACATATGTGTCGCTGGGTGAGTTCTAGATTGCGACTGTACTGAGAAATTTTGATTTCAAGTATCAAAAAAGCATCAATAGAACTAAAGGTCAAACCCAGATAAGAAAGAATGGGTAAGAAAACAGAGTGAAGAAAACAGACAAAGTGTTTTTACCCAGTATGTATTTAATCAGGAATTAAAATGAAATGGTGAGTCAAAAACATGTTGTGGTTTAGGAGACAGTTCCGTGGAACACAAGCTGAAGGGAAACTACTGGCACTAACAGCAGCCATGTGGAACAAAGGGATGGCGTGTGAGTTGAAGGGAATTTATTGTAGTCTGTGGGGGATAATAAACATTAGGACAATTTTTAATAGGCCCCAAAATGAAAGAAAATGAAAGAATGAGCTAGTAAAGATACTTGAAGATATAATTTAGTCCCTAATGACTTTCTTCAAGCTATACAAAGCAGTTAAATTTCAAATATCAATTTTATACTACTGGGATTTTTTCAGTCATGAGCTGGGATGGAATTTACCTTGAAAACCTTAAAAGAAAACATGTTCTAACTTTAAAAAATCCAGAGCAAAATCAGTCGGTCCTCTGGGACTACACAACTTTATTTAGATGTGCCAATGAAGGACAAAGACCCTGATTTAGAGCAGATGCCTCTTCATTTATGTATGTGGATGTGTGTGTACTGACAGTGTGTACTCACTGCTGGTGAGTTAGGAAGGAGCACAGCTACCAAGTTCCTTGGATGATTTTCTTGTCACTGCCGTACACTTAATTCATGGTGAATGCCCTTGATTACATAGAGGTTATCACATACTTACTTCCAATTCTGTAATTGTTCCCCGTGTTTTTAACTCTGTATGATCAATACCACTTAAAAAGGTAGCAAAAATTAGTGTAAATTATATAGGATTTCTCCAAATGTCAGAGCTTTGCCTGTGAAGTCTCAGAATGGCTTTTTAGTAGGACTGTCCACAATTTAGAAGCTGCCAATTTACCACTTTAGGGCTGCTATTTTACAAATATGTGCAGGGGAAAAAAAAGCCTTGTGTGCTTTTTTTTTTTCCCTTTCCTTTTGCTTCATTAATTTTAGTAAGGTTCTGTCTGAAAAGCTGTATTGCCACATTACATACCCCACCACTTCTCCGTAGTAACCGCTTTTGTCAGGAATGGTAGACTGTTCCTGGAAAATCTGCTCTCCTAAGGAGCAGGTGACAGACGGTGTTTTCCAGGTGGGCTGAGCTCCACATGAGGCAGGGGGAGCACCTGTTCTGTTCTTACAATATTCATGCATTTTTAGAGGACACATCAAGTTGGTCTGCATTGTATTCAGTGCTGAGAGTAAGAGGAGGAGAAAACTTCCTGAAAATGGTTCACGTACAGTCAGATGTAGGGAGGTTAGATGAAATAGGCAGGAATCAACAGCTTTTGGTTTGATTAGGATGAATGGGCTTTATTTGGGATAAGAAGAGAGAGAGGGTGTCAATTGCATGAAAGCATTGTCAGATAGCAGAGAACACTACTTGAAACTCTCTGCTTCCGAGGTGGCAAGTTGCTAAATCGAAAACTAGTATGCACTGTGATTCTACCACAGATAAAGTAAATGCTCTTTGAGGATATATAAATAGAACTGTAATGAGTAGGCAAGCAAGTGGGGTGATTCCTGATCTGTCGCTCTGGCAGAGTTAGAGACTTACATTTCAGACCACAAGCTAGACTAAAACTAGGAAAAGGTAAATTAATTTAAAAGATATAATCATAAAAATATGGTAAGGAAGAATTCAGGTAAACGTGATGTGAACTTGTTTAGTAGACAGAAAACAGGAGAGGTGATGTGTTTCCCTACAAATACTGGTAAAAAATTAACCAGAACGGAGGGGAAGAAATGGTTGTCATTAGCTAATGTGAACAGAACATGAATCAATGACCCCCAGCTGAGTCAGAGGTGGTGTGTTGTGTAGTTTTTGTCATTCTGATTCCTTGGATTTTGGTTTTTTTTTTCTTTCTCTTCAGACAGAACCCACAGCCATGTAATTTCTACAGTTTACCTGCTACAGAGCCATGTAGTTCATGCTTTTAAACTCCTGTTTTCACTTTGGTTCTCCTAGAGGTGCCTAAACAGTCAATGAGAAGGTAGTGCACTGGTCTGTGATTCCCATCAGCACCCAGAAAAAGCATGAGAGTAAAAGGTGTCAACAGACAATCCTTTTTCAGGCAGATGTATTGAAGAATGTCTTCCTTAAGTGTCCTTAATTGCCTCACCTTGAAGGCAATTACATTTTCCATTTCCATAGATGGCCCTGGAAAGGTGATTCTGTCTCGCTGCTGTAGTTACGAGTGACGATCCTGTAGTGACCTGGTTGCAAACAGGTTATTAAATCTGTTTTCTCACGTACCCATGTTGTCTTTATGTTTTAAATAGGTCTTTTTTTCCTCCCTGATGCTTAGCTGGTGGATGTATTTATGAACAAAACATCCATTCACTTTTCAGCTCTTTCTTCTGTGACTGTATTAGGACAGAATTAGACCTTGTTTCCACAAGAGGCTCAGTTTAGCAGTCTGCTTAATAGTACACAAGAGTATTAGTAATAGGAGTTATAAGTCCTAATTGAATGGGAATTTCATGGAGTTTAATATAAAAAATTTCATGTATGGTTTTCTAAAGTATTTAA